GTTACACTCTGAATCTGGACTGCCTCCTTCCTCCCCGTTGCCCGCCTCAGCCTAGTCTTCGGAGGCTAGGAAAAGCAACCAGAATCTCAATGAGGCAGAAAGGCTCACCCAGTCCTCCATCACATAAGTGCAAAATGTCTTTCTTTTATTTATGGATCAATTTCTCATTGCATCCGGCACACGTTTTGCGCTTCCGCCTTTATCAAAGGCCCATACATGGTTCAAAACCTTAGAAGTGTTCACTGCCGTATCCTTTGACCTCTTCCGACGCCATCTCAAGGACTACTGAGGCTGCGACAGTTTCAAAAGACTTTCCACGATCATCAGTCGGGTAAAATCTTTGTGCAGGTAGCACATTCAGCAATCTCAGATCTTGTTCTCCTTTCGCTACTACATAGTGAGCAACTGAACGGCGTGGCAGTAATGAGCCGAAAGTACGCCTTTGAGACTGCGTTCATACTTTGCGACAGCATTTTGAGCGTCCGCCAACGTTCCGAGCGTCGCTGGTGAACTCTAAAACGCTAATACTCAAATACTGGCTCCACACATACAGTTCCTAGACGCTCAAGACTCTCAAAATGCTGACTCAAAGTATGCGCGCCCTCTAAAGTACATTTAGCTTCGGTACGTCGCCGTGTCTTTCCTATCCGAGACGAGATATGCCAGCAGTCCTTTGATGAAAACAGGTACAACGCGTTGCTTTCATTCTAGGGATCGACTTATATCGCCTCGTTCGTATTTCAGATCATCCTTTACCTGCTGGCTCTCCCCTGTGCAGCCGTGTCGCTTGTTCGGATACTCGTCCAATGCTGGCGCTTTAGTTGCGGCGTCTCTGACGATTTTCTCCTCCGTTTTGTTCATTTATAGGTCTACAAGTCATCTTATATAATTGAAGCAAATGATTTGCAATAATTGTCGCAGCACGTAAACAGCAGTGCTAACAGCAATCGTTATGACCAGTCAGCAGGCCTTTGAACTGTTTTCTACCCTTGACAATGCACTTAAATTAGCGCAGTCCTCAGGAACTAGGAGTGATGGGACGTGCCAGTACGACAGGATTTCAATGGGCCACCATCTCGTCTGTCATTGGCAGAACAGAAGCGCGAGTGGGGAGGAGGAATGAGCTGGGCGTTGCTTCCAATTCAGTCACACCGACATTCACCGGACGCCCGCGTCATTCGTGCTATGCCGACATAAGATCCCTTAATACAGTACTCGCCTCGGAAGAGGCAACTGCCTGCCTGCATCAAGAAACAACCAACGTTCAAAATATTTAAGAATGACAAATAGAATATTATCAGGTTTCAATGTTCAATCTAGTAATCAACGTTTTCTTTTCGTTTTTGATGCAAAATTACTAAGTATGTTAAGCGATGGAAATCCTAGGAGGAACGTCTGCACGAACCAGCTTGCTGAACATGACATACTGAAAAAAACAGGAATTAACGTCTTTTCTTCGGAACGAACAGCGCTCGTACCTGAACTTCAGCTTCATGCACAAATACAAAGCATAGAGACTTTCTCCAATATGGGCAACTAATGCGAAGACATTTGTGTATACAGTAATCCAGTGATAGTGAGTACCAACATAAGCAGCCATGGGTCCGATCAAAGGAACATACTGTTGAAGAATGTTAGGTGAGTAATAGGCGAGCTAAAAAAGTTTATATGATTTTTAACACTTTCATGTGCTCAGCTGGAAGTTCCGCTGTTCAAAAGAGCTCGCTTCGTAGCACTGGAAACCGCACCTTTCCCTAGTTCATGATAAAACTTCTGAAGCGTCACGGAAATCTTTGGAGCATACCATCCTAGCGCTGCTTCAACTCTTGACGGGCATAAAAGAGGACCTTACTACCCCACTCATCGCTATGAAGGAGGACCCTTCGCTTTGTCTCTTTTGATATTAATGGATGGAAAGAGAAGCCATTGGGAACACCAGCAACAAGCATTTCCTTCTGCTGTAGCGTCCTATGACCACGGTACTGTGAAACATTACAACTTTTCACATACAGTAAGTAGTACACCTACCTCGCAAGCTCTTGAAAAAAATCGTCCCCACACTCACAACTGTTCGTCTCTGCCCCGTCTAGTGCCCGTGCTACCTCCATCCCGCCTCTAAAGCCCATCCTTTGCATAGGGCAACTCGTCTAGGACTATCACCATCTCGACTGACCTACTTGGTCATCTTACAATGGCAGCGCGCCAGCACAGACGCCGATTTACGTATTGGTTACTCAGCTACACATGATCGCCTGTTTCTGGGCTAATTTTCGGCTCTTTTCACCCCTCCCTCGCCCCTCTTTCTCAATACTGCTCGACTGCTTAGAGGGCTACTTGGAGATGGTTCTGCCATGGGTAAGTTTGAGTCTTGATGAAATCTACTTCAAACAGCTCGCAGTAAATTAACATCGAATTCGCAGTTAGAATTCATTTACCTCACTCAAACAACAGCCTATTGATAAATTTATAACCATTTTCATAGAGTAACTTTTCCTGATAGGTGGCAGAATAGTGATGGTTTCCGCAATAGAGGGTCGGGGAAAAGAAGCCGGAAATCGGCTCAGAAGTAGACGAAGGTACCTATTGTCAACCGAGTCAAAATGGAAGGATAAAGGCGTAGCGTTGGTCAATCTCTCTGTGGGACGCGGCAGGCATTCTACTTCCATTCAGAATCGTAGTGGCTTATTGAATGCGATGTGGCCTATACAATGACTTGCGGGGCCAGCCGATGTACAAGTCAGTGTTTTATCCTCCCAGACGAATCTGGTACCAATTTACCGTCCCCGGAGGGTAGAAGGCTTGGTTGGGAGTCGACCTGGGATTTAAACCCAGGACCGCGAGAGTGGTAAGCGCGCCACCTTGTCAGTACACCACCTCCGCCCCCTCAACCAAGCTATCAGTACATAATTCGGTGTCTTTACTTCTTATGCTGCCCTCTTGCCAATCTAGATCGATCAGTTATGTGAATCAAGATGGAGCTGGACGAGTTGTCCGGTTAAGAAGTGGAGCTGCAGAAGCGGAGTGCAAGTGACATTTACGGTTTGTAAAGGCTACCAGCATGACACTTAATAGCTGCGCTATTCCACTTCTGTGCGAGAACAGGTTCAGTTTCTTCCTCACTGTTGTCCAAACAGATTCAGCACCTTCTCCTCCCAAGAGAGACAACTTCCATCGTTGTCGGGAAGGAACAGAATGAAAGTCACGTATGGATGGCAGGGTACAGCGATCGTAAATGTGCGAAAATGGAGGTGTCGTAGATCCCCTCACGTTGTTCCGATCGGCGAGGCAGGGGTACAGTACACATGATACAAGAAAAATCACGCGAAATGTCAACAACCGGGAAAAATTTTTTCCCAACGCGGCAATTTCTACCAAAACACATACGCCCTCTCTCCCAACAACGAACAAATACGAACCTCGCCGTCCCCAAGCGCAAAGTATGAGCCCTCTATGTGTTTCACACAACGATGCTGTACCCTGTATGGATGACTGCTGTCATGGTGTAAGACGCCCTAAAGGCTCAGCCACCAACCACTCTCGTGATCAAGTTGCAATGTATTATCGTGCACGTCAGATCAAACAAAAAAAAACTTGCTTTCTTTTCCCGAAGGAAATTTTTTTATTTGATGGAATGAGCATTGAACGAGTTCTAGGCGTCTCTTGTGAAGGAGCTTCTTGTCCTGCAGCAGTGCGTTTCGCACTCGTAGCTTTCGGCCATCAGCTCTCTTTGCTGCACGGCTGCCTCGACTTCTCCTCCTCTCTGTCTTCGTGGAGCCACTGAGCGATTCAAACGGAGCTGGTAACCGAAAACCACAAGGTGCAAAACGCTCTGCCGCAGGACAAGAAGCTCTTTCGCAGGGGTACCGAGGAACCTCCAACCTCAGTAATCCATAAACTTGTGAATAAGGGTCCGCTCAAAAAAAACCGAAAAACACAGCGTTCTAAAGATTTCCAAACTTTTAGCGCCAAAAATAGCGATGGGTAAGGAAATCAAAGACCTGATTGCAGAAAAACGTGTTTGCAACCAGCAGTCACTGTGCATGAAACTGAACCCAAAAAGCAAAACAAACAGGGTCAAAAATAGATCTTACAACATTGCAGCCATGATTTCACCCCGCTCAAGTGGGAAGTAGGAAAGAAAGAAAAGCAGGAACATTAGAAAAACTCACGAAATTCACTCCAAGTGCAGGAATGATAATTAAATACCAGTAGAAAGGAGGTGCACGGAAATAATCAACCATCTTTGGAAGCTCCACGGAAGCTACAGGGTTGGTGCTGTCAAGCACCTCGCCCAAGTGCTGAATGACTACGCCGTCTCGTTACTGTCCCTGTACAAGGTTGCGAATAGACTCGATCAATAAGTAGCGGTAGGTGTCGCCATCAACGCAAACTCCGTTTGGGTCACCTTAATCAGCAACGGAGATTTTATCTTGAAGAAATAAACAAACAGCGTGACGAAGAACTGTGATCGGATTCAAAACACTAGGCTAAGACGACTGTTATCAACCTGCTCCAAACAAAATTCTTACTTCTCGTGCTTTTAAAGGTATCTTTTCAATCAAGAATCGGTCTTCTTGAAATAGCGGAATTCTTAAATAAGAACAGGAGAACAAATGTGGACAAAACGAATACAAGCTCTAGAACCAGGGAAGAGTAATGGGCCCAAGTACCACCCGTCAAGCACAACGATCCAGCTTCATAATGTCAGCTAATCAGCCTGTTCCACTCGCTCTACGTTTTGCTCAGAAAGGGACTAATTTCTATTCAGTATGGACGAGCTTCCGCGAATCTTCTTCCAAGGGATACAAAAGCCAAAACAAGCGATCATAAATGCTCTCTTGCGTTTTGCAAGAGGGTGAGCTTGACAAGGACAACGCGCAAGCGCCAGTTCTGAAGAACCACGACTCACTCGAATTACCGTGATGCAATGCGAGCGCAAGCGCTCGAGCTCGCATTATTGACAGAATCTCCAAGGCTACTGTCAGAACCCCAGAAGAGATGAGGCGCTAGGTCGAACAACCAGTAGAATACCAGTCCCCACATGCTAGTAAAGCTTATCCTTCAATAACTGAGAACACGAATATGACAGAACCATTAAACGTAGCAGTGATTCCAGCTCACAACCAGCTGGGTAGAAAAGGGA